TCATTTCAAGAAGGTTTTTTTTGTTTTTGTTTTTCGAGACAGGGTTTCTCTGTGTAGCCCTGGCTGTCCTGGAACTCACTCTGTAGAGCAGGCTGGCCTCGAACTCTCGAGTTCAGAAATCCACCTGCCTCTGCCTCCCAAGTGTTAGCTTTCATTTCAAATGCCTCTTTCTCTCTCTTAACTGGAATGCTTAGAGTCTGTGTGTGTGTGTGTGTGTGTGTGTGTGTGTGTACACTCATGCATGCGCATGCTCTCTCACGTGCACACACACACACTCACGAGAGGCCAGAGGTTGATTTCAGGTCTCAGTTGTTCTTTACCTTATTTTTTCAGACAGGATTTCTCACTAAACCTAGACCTCGGGAGATGATTTAGCTGGCTAGCCAGTGAGCCTCCTGTCCCTGCCTCCACAGTACTGGGACTGTGAGTGGACTTTCGGGTTTCAACGGGGGTGTGGGCTCTGAACTTAGCTCCTTATTTATGCCCCACAGGCACTCTACCCACTGAGCCATCTTTCCAGACCAAAATGATATTTTTTGGATTTTTTTATGTGTATGAATGGCTTACCTGCACATATGTTTATATGTGTACCTCCTGTGTGCCTGGTACTGAGGAAAGCAAGAGGCAGACATTGAACATATGAGACTGGAGGCAAAGTTGTGAGCTGGCACGTGGGTGCTGGGAATCGAGACTGCATTCTCTGAACCTTGGTTCTCAGCCTTCCTAACACTGTGGCTTTTTAATATAGCTCCTCATGCTGTGGTGACCGTCAACCATAAAATTATTTTGTTGCTACTTTTAAACTAATTTTGCTACTGTTGTGAATTATAATGTAAATGCCTTCTCTGTAGGATATCTGATGTGTGACCTCTTTTTATGACCCACAGGTTGAGAACTGCTGCTGTAGAAGAGTAACCAGTCCTCTTTAAAAAAAAAAGGCCGGTGGTGGTGGTGCACGCCTTTAATCCCAGCACTTGGGAGGCAGAGGCAGGCAGATTTCTGAGTTCAAGAGTTCGAGGCTAGCCTGGTCTACAGAGTGAGTTCCAGGACAGCCAGGACAAAACAAAAACAAACAAACAAACAAACAAACAAACAAACCAAGATTTATTTATTTTATATATGTGAGTACACTGTAGCTGTCTTCAGACACACCAGAAGAAGGCATCAGATCCCGTTACAGATGGTTGTGAGCCACCATGTGGTTGCTGGGAATTGAGCTCAGGACCTCTGGAAGAGCAGTCAATGCTCTTATCTGCTAGACCATCTCTCCAGCCACTCCCTTTCTTCAAATATCTTTCTTTCTTCCTTTTTTTTTTTTTTTTTTTGGTTTTTTCGAGACAAGGTTTCTCTGTGTAGCCCTGGCTGTCCTGGAACTCACTCTGTAGACCAGGCTGGCCTCGAACTCAGAAATCCGCCTGCCTCTGCCTCCCAAGTGCTGGGATTAAAGGCGTGCGCCACCACCGCCGGGCCTGCCTCAAATATCTTTCAATTAAGAAAAATCTGCTTCCTACTGCCTAGCCCTTAAATTCTTTTGTAAATTAATTTTTAATTAAAACATAATTACATAATTTCTATTTCTTCTTACACCTCTCCTGTGCCCTCTCTCTAATTAGTATTGTTACATACACACACATGTATGTATATATATGCAAATAAATATATGACTGCCACCTTCTGGGTCTGCTTAGTGTGGCTTGTACTTGTGTTTTCTTGGACGGACCACTCGGTGTTGGAAAACCTTTTAGGAGACTCATCCTGAGGAACACTAATTCTCTCTCAGTCCTTCATCTAGGGCTGGAACATGTAAGATGTTTCTCATCCACTTTGGCACATCAGCCGAGGTCGTCATTATTCAGTTCTGGTTTAATTGAAGCAGCCATATTGTTGAGATGTCATGAGATAGCCTGCAATTACTTCCTCGGTTGAAGCCATGAATCCTGGGTTGACCTGTGGTCCCTGAATTTCTAAGGGATTAAAGGAATTGCTTAGACTGGTAAAGGTGGCAGAATGGCCCTGTAAGTGTTCCTGCATGGACGGAAGGTTGTCCTAGGACTTGGAGGCCCAGGAACCTCACAGCTCTGAGCGGAAGCCTCCTCAGCAGAAGGTGTTACAGCTCCCAGGGGAGGGGATCCCCTGGTCAGCTGAGGAGCTCAGGAGCCTGTGCCCCACTCCTTCCCAACAGTTCTTCATTGCTTCTTGGCTGCTTGTGATGTGCGAGTCACACCAGGCTGCAAATCTCACAAAAGAAATTTATCGGAGGGTCCAGGAAGTGGGGGGACGAATCCAGGAATGACTGACTGCCGTCTGCTCCTGGGATTGGACAGCAGGGAACTGGACAAAGGGCAGTACATATGTAGGATTTCTTAGGGGGTGGAGCTCTTCAGGGCAGAGATTTCCAGATTGAGGATTGATGGGATTTCAAGTCTTGATTTTGGGGAGCTGGGGAATTGATGGATCTCCCTGTTTAGGAATTGGTAGGTTTTTCTGCTTAGGGATTGGTGGGTTTTGTGGGACTTTCAGGGATTGGTGGGTTTTCCTGCTCAGTAATTGGTAGCTTTTTTCACCCCCTTTTTTCTGCATTGGGCCCATAGGTTGAGATGGGAAGACCTCAGCCTCAGGTGGCTTTGGGTAAGGTGCTAAGCTGCTTAAAGGCTGAAAAGGAGGGTTGCCACCTCGGACAGCGCCTGCACTGGTATTTCACGAAGGCTGTGGCAGGAAAGGAGATGCATCGCTATGGACAGCTCCTGAGAGGCTGCAGGCTGTGAAGGTGTCGCCTTTTTGATAGGAGCCGCCATTTTCATCCACTGGCTGGGGTCACAAAGGCTGGGTTTGCAGCTTTGACAGCTCTTTGTGACACACCCCTCGGGGACTACAGGCACTGTGTCTCCTTTCCTGTCCTCTTGTCAAGGCTTCAACTTACTGTAGTTTAGGGTGGCTTTGAACTTAATGCAATCCCCCTGCCTCGGTAACAAAGTGCTGGGGTTACAAGACTGTATCACTTAACACACTTCCACTTGCAAAGCACTTCCGGCTTTCAGAGTTCGTTAACGTTTACTCTTTTTGCCTCTTAATTCCAGTACTTGGAAGGCTGAGGCAAGGTTGCTGTGAATTTGAAGCCAGCTTGGGCTACACAGTGAATTCCAGGCCATCCTGGGCTATACAATGACGTTCTGCTTTGAAATATCATTTTTAATTTATTTCCTCACAATAACCTCAGTACTGAGAATACTGGAGGGTGGGGTGAGGCGGGGGCAGGGACTTGTTTACTAAGGCTCAACGAGTACAAATCACTTATATCGTTTGAAAATTCTCTAATCCTTTGGGGTGAATGGCGTTTCATTTTGAAATAGCCCAGATTATCCTGGAACATTCTCTGCTTCAGCTTACAGAGACCTGCTGTTTACAGCTGTGCTCTGCCACGCATAATTCAGCAGTAGATTCTGAGATAATACAGACTGAAGAACACACAGCTATTGTGTGACAGAGCTGTTTGGAACCCGGTATTTATACATTAAAGCTACTGCTCTTGCTAGAGCCCCTGTTCCTTGACACCAAGAGAACAGATTTGTCTGTTATGCTCCTCAAGCTAGACTGATCCGAAGGAACACTTACTGGCTTTCAGCCCACACATATTCCATCAGACTACTTTGCAATCTTTAAAAAAGATTAGCTTAAGTGTATATGTGTGTGTGTGTGCATGTGTATGTGTGTATGTGTGTGTGTGTGTGTGTTGGGGTATGTACCTGAAGGCCAGAGACATTGGATTCTCTGGAGATGAAGTTATAGATGGTTGTGAGCCGCCACCTGTGGGTGCTGAAAACCAAACCCGGGTCCCCTGCAAGTGCGTGCTCTTAACCACTAAGCCATCTCTCTAGCCTCTGATGTGCATTTTATATAAAGCATGTAACAATTAGTCCCGCGTCTTCCTGTATTAAGTGTTCTCTTTTTCTTAGATTCCACAAGATAGTGTTAGCTGGGCGTGGTAGCACTCGCCGGTAATCCCAGCATTTAGGAGGCTGGGAAAGGAGTGACTTCAAGGCATCCTGGCCTACACAGAAAGACTGCCTCAAAACAAAACATAGCAGTAGCAAAGACCCAGCATAACTCAGCAGACTCTTCCCAGTTGTTAAAGTTATATTTATTGCACGGAATTCCAGATAACTGCTAGTAGATTGCAGATCTGCCAAGACTCCAAGCCAGACCTTTTATTGTTTATAGTTATTAATTTTATTATTTTATGTGTACGCTCGTTTGCCTGCATACGTACGTGCGTGCACTATGTGAGTGTCCAGTGTTGAGGTCAGAAGAGGGCGTCAGATCTCTCTAGAGCAGAAGTTATAGATGGTATGTGGGTGCTGGGAAATGGAGTTGGGTCTTTTAGAAGGAACAGCCAGAGCTCTTAATCGCTGAGCCGTCTGTCCATCACCTGCAAGAGGGGGTGGAAGGGGTCGCAAGCTGGGTCTTAAAGCAGCTTGGCCCAGGTTTGCTCCTCCAGGCCACCTTCCAAGGCCTTCAAGTAAATAATGAGCCGAACCCGACCAGCAACAAATCCCATAACTTAATATTTCTTGCTTCTCTTCGTGCTTTCCCCCCTCATCCATCCCCCCTTTTGCTTCTTAGAGATAGTCTTAAAGCCCAATTCCTTTGCATCCGGACATCTGGTTCCTTTAAGGACTTAATGGCCAGCCTCGCCTCCCTCCCGCTTCTCAGCGCTGCTATTATTGGACCATTGTTTTATGTCCTCTGACAATTAACCCCGTGGCACTCTTTTCTCGCCTCCTCCAGGTTCCTGGGATTAGGAATTTGGCCTCGTAACCTGGCAACCACTGAACTACCCGCTGAGGGTGGAAACAGGGGCGTTAGGGTTTGTGCTTTGCGGTTGAGGTACTCCAGGCTCTCAACGGAAGCTGGCTGCAAAGCTAAGCGTCCCGCCCCTGTTGCCATAACAACATATAACTCCTGCTACCCCGTTGCGTCTTCTAAAAAAACAGTCCTGGCATCTCAGCATAAAGATCCTCTCCATACCTACTTCTAGAGGAGCAGAGTCAGGATCTGCGCCCACTTCTGAAGGCGAATTGGGTTGGAGGGTTGAAGACTTCGTGTCGGGGAAATGGTGCTAACAGAGAGACCGCATTAGAAGAGCAGGGGTTGGGGGTGGAAGGGAACCCGGAGGTGAGGTGTGAGTAAAGAAGGGGAGGAGGAGTTGGTAGGGGAGGTTTTAGGAGGACATGTAGAACTATATCACAGGGAATTCAGGAAGGAGGACACTGGGCTGCTGGGGCAGAGTGGGAGGCAAGTGAAGGCAGGAACAGTCTGGGAGTGTGGGAAAGTGTCCCGAGGGGTGCCTGGAAGGGGGAGTCTCCAAGCAGAGATTGGGAGTCCAAAGATGTTCTCTAGTATGAGGAAAGACGCACAGGTCGGAGTTCAGGGGTGACAGGGGCTGTATAGGGAACCTGTAAATGGAGGCGAGGGACCAGAGGGTTGGTGGGAGTGTGAGCTAAGACCTCCTTTCTCAGGACCAGGACTGAGTTCCGTCTGACTCCAGAGCGCAGGGCGGAGAAAGATGTCGGATGAAGATGATGTGGATGACATTGATCCAGAGCAGGATGAAGTGGAAAGAGAAGAGGATGACAAGGAGATAGAGGAATGGGATGACTACAGGAAAGAGGGGGAAGAAGTCTCTGAGGAAGTGAGAGCCTGGAGAAAGGGGGGCTCCTGGGGCTCGGGACTGGGGGGGAGTTGGAAAGGGATGCCTGTGTTACCCACCTCTTTCAGTGGCTGCCCACCCCCCTCACGGAGCTCATGATGAAGGAAGGGCTTTCATTACTCTGCAAGATTGGCAGTGGACTAGCTCACGCTTATATTAAGCTGGAGGCTAAAGACAGGTGAGGACTGAGAGACTGGAGCCTCACGTGCCTTCCCTGTCTCATTCCTGAGTGTTTTGGCTATGGTTTGTCTCTCTCATCCCGAGCTAAATGGGAAGAAATGGTGGGATTTGCTTTTCAGAACTTCTGAGACTCTTTGGTGACTGGGTGGGTAGCTTAGCAGTAGGGAGCTTGCCTAGTATATCCCAGCACCAAAACAACACACTGAAGCTTCTGTGGGGAGCTCTGCTGTCCCTTCCCTGTGGAGTCTCTACCTGGTTCCGACATATAGCTTAGTAATAAAAAGGCTCATCTGGCATGTGCAAGGCACTAGTTTTGATCTCTGCACTGAAAACCAAGAAGAAAACCCCACTTGCCTCCTCTTCCTCTCCCTCTTTGTCATCCCAGTACAAGTTACCTCTGCATCTTCCTCTGTCCTAGTGCCTCTGCCAGTTCTTGCTAGGCTCTTATCCTTTCCGTGGATCTCCCCCCGCCCCCATCTCCTAGGGACCTCACAGACATCACCTTACTGCGTTCCTATATCCATCTTCGCTATGTGGACATTTCTGAGAACCATATTACAGACATGTCACCGCTCAATAGCCTCACTCACCTACTGTGGCTCAAGGCCGATGGTAACCAGCTTCGGAGTGCCCGGTTGAACGAACTGCCCTACCTGCAGATCGCCAGTTTTTCCTACAACCAGATCATAGACACCGAAGGCATCTTTCATCCCCGTCTGGGAAGCCTGGATCTCAAAGGTGGGTCCTTAGGGAGAGATGCACAGAACCTCCCTTCCTAGCATGGAGCTGACAGAAGTAGGCAGTATATGCTTCTTGACTGAGCCACACAGCCGTCTGTATACAGACACTCATTCGTTAAGACACATGCTGGGCTGGGGATACAGCTCAGCCGTAAAGTCTTGTCTCTATACTTACACAGGGCCTAGCCAAAAAGAGAGACTTATTCAAATTAATTGGATTTGTTTTTGTTTTGTTTTTCGAGACAGGGTTTCTCTTGTAGCCCTGGCTGTCCTGGAACTCACTCTGTAGACCAGGCTGGCCTCGAACTCAGAAATCCACCTGCCTCTGCCTCCCAAGCGCTGGGATTAAAGGTGTGTGCCACCACCGCCCGGCTTATTTTTTTTTTTTTTTGGTTAATTGGATTTTTTAAAATTCATTTTTAATTATGTGTACATAGGTATGTGCAGGTGTCTGCGGAGACCAGAAGAAAATAGCTTCCTGTGATCTGCCTGACTGTGGGTGCTGGGAACTGAACCCGGGTCTTCACCACCGAGTCATCTCTGAAGCCCCTCATAAAATTCTTTATGACAGTTCTTCATGCTGGAGATACAACAATGAGCAAAAACTCTTTTCTTTTTTTTTTTTTTTGGGGGGGGGGGTTCTCTGTGTAGCCCTGGCTGTCCTGGAACTCACTCTGTAGACCAGGCTGGCCTCGAACTCAGAAATCCGCCTGCCTCTGCCTCCCAAGTGCTGGGATTAAAGGCGTGCGCCATCACTGCCTGACAAAACTTTCTATTCTTATGTAGAGTCCATTCTAGTTTAGGAGGATGGGCAGATTTTAACAGTGAGCATAGTAAGTAAATACAAACCAGGCATGGAGGCTCCCAACCATAATCCCTACACACTGGTGGTTAGAGCAGGCTCAATGAAATTCAAAGCCAGTCTGGGTCAGCTTGACTTGCAGAGTGAGACCCAGTTTAAAGTACAACGGACTGAACCTATTGTCTTGTGCATGCTAGGCAAGCCCTCTTCTACTGAGCCATATCCCAGCCCTGTCATGACTTTTTATAAGATTTTTAAAGGTTAGTTTGTTTATGCATTTTGTGCATGCTTTGTCTGCATGTAAGCCTGCACACCAGATGGCGACATTGGATCCCATTATAAACGGTGTGGTGGTTTGAAGACACTTGGCCCATGGGAAGTGGCACTATTAGGAGGTGTGGCCATATTGGAGGAGGTGTGGCCTTGTTAGATGAAGTATGTCACCATGGAAGCTGGAAGCGGGACTTTGAGATCTTATAAATATGCTTAAGTCCACCAGTGTGACACAGAGTCTCCTTCTGGCTGCCTTCTGATCAAGAACTCTCAGCTTCTCCAGCACCATGTCTCCCTTGCAGGCTACCATGTTTCTGACATGGTAATAGACTGAACCTCTGAAACTGTCAGCAAGCCCCAGTTGAGTGTTTTCCTTTATAAAAGTTGCCTTGGTCATGGTGTCACTTCATGGTAATACTGTACCACAGACCCAAAGTCCATATTTCTCCAAATAAAAACATGGTCAAGCCTATCAGAGCCTGGTACCAACTTCTGTCTTAGTTAAGGTTTCATTGCTGTGAAAAGACACTATGGGCCAAGCGTATTCAAACCACCACAGATGGGCTGTGAGCCACCACACGGTTGCTAGGGATGGAACTCAGGACCTCTGGAACAGCAGGCAGTGCTCTGAGCCATTAAAGCCATCTCTTCAGCCCCAAAAATTGCTTTTAATTTTGAGAAGTGGTCTCATAAATTTCTGAAGCTGGACTTGAACTCACTCAGTAGTAGCCCAGGGAGGCCATAGCATTTTTACTCTGCTGCTTCAGGCTCTTAGGTAGTAGACTATAGGTCTGAACTACTTGGCCCAGCACAGATGACAATTTCAAACTGGTTGTTTAGGGGAAACACCACCTGACCAAAGATGTTCAGGAAGGAAGGACATTGCCCATGAATGTTGCTTAAGCATTACCGACTCATTCTCAAAGCATAGGTGGACCAACCCAGGTCCACTTGCTTCAGAGCTCCGAAGGTGGTAGTACTGGGTTGTTTTCTCTCACCATCCACACTTCGTCAGAGGGGAAGAAGATATGGGGGGGCCAACATGTCTCCTGCTGAACCTTCACCATGGACCTTTGAGATCTCCATTCCCTCTTTTCCGACAGGGAACCACATCCACCAGGTGTCTGGGCTGGACCCTACAAGACTGACGAGTCTGCACACCCTGGAGCTTCGGGGGAACCAGTTAGAAACTACGATGGGAATCAACCTTCCAAAGCTAAAGAATCTCTACCTGGTAGCTCACTGGGCCCTCAGGCGGCACAGGGAAGGGAGCACAGCCTTGGCTTTTAGGAGGCTCAGCTAGTAGCTTCAGCACCATGGTGGTGATGACCGCACATGGCGCCTGATGATGTGGGAATATAAAATTAAAACAGTAAGTGCAAGCTACGCCTATAATGCTAGCACTTGGGAGGCTGGGTAAGGGGGACAGTTGAGAGTTAGGGGCCAGCCTGGGCTACAGAATAAGACTCTGTCTCTCAGAGGGAAAGGAGGACAGTAGGGGAGAGGAAGAAAGGAAGGCAGAGCTACAGTATATGCTGTGTGAAAACCGCAGAGAAAATGTTTTGATATAGGTTGTTGCAAAATGCGCTTTTCAGGTACAGAGAACAGGCGAAGAAGGCCACTTAGTCATTTGTTTATTTATTGAGACAGGGTTTGATGTAGCCCAGGTTGACCTGAAATCACGACGTAACTGAAGATGACCTTGACCTCCCCTGATCCTCCTGCCTCCACCTCCCAAGTGCCAGAATTCCAGTATGTACCATTATAATTCTCTCTCTGTGTGTGTGTGTGTGTGTGTGTGTGTGTGTGTGTGCGAATATCAGTTTTTTGTTTTGTTAAGACAGAGGTTCTCTGTGTAGCCCTGGCTGTCCTGGAACTCTCTCTGTAGACCAGGCTGGCCTTGAACTCAGAGATCCACCTGCCTCTGCCTCCCAGGTGTGCTAGGATTAAAGGCATGCACTGCACTGCCCGGCTATAATCTAGTACTTTTGTTTTATGTGTTCATGTCTGTGTGCACACACACTATGTGTCCATGCAGGCGTGCAGCTGTGCTGTGTGTAGAAGCCCAAGGTGGACTTCACGCCTCTTCCTTGGTGGCTTCTGATCTTGTGCTTTGAGACAGGGTCTTTCACAGAACCTGACGCTTCACTAATTAATTAGTCAGCCTGGCCTAAGGGCTCCAAGGATCTGAGTGTCTCTACCCCAACAGCAGGCATTACAGATTGTGTACCCTACCCACTTCCACACACACAAGATTGGCTTTTTATGTGAGTGCTAGGGACAAATAAGTCCTCAGGACAAGAATTTTACTGACCAAGCCATGTCCATGGCCCATGTTCTGTTTGTTTTTTTGTTTTTAAGGGTCATACCATGTAGCCCTGGCTGGCCTATGTAAGTCAGGCTGGCCTAGAACTCACAGCAATCCTCTTGCTCTGGTCTTCTTTTTTTGTTTTGTTTTGTTTTGTTAGTTTTTTTGTTTTGTTTTGTTTTGTTTTCGAGACAGGGTTTCTCTGTGTAGTCCTGGCTGTTCTGAAACTCACTCTGTAGAGCAGGCTGGCCTCGAACTCTTGAACTCAGAAATCCGCCTGCCTCTGCCTCCCAAGTGCTGGGATTAAAGGCATCTGCCACCACCGCCCGGCTTGCCCTGGTCTTCTAAGTGCTAGGATTTGTAGATGTGTGTCGCCATATCTTGTTTTTATTACTTTACTTTAAAAAATATTTATATGTGTAAGTATGTTTTGTCTACATGTATGTGTTTATGTGTAGTACTGTGTGTGTGCACCTGGTGCCCCTGGAGATCAGGAGGGAGGCTTAATCCCCGGAAACTGGAGTTACAGGTGGTTGTGAGCTGCCACGTGGTGCTGGGAACGAAACCTGGGTCTTCTAAAAGAACAGGAGATGCTCTTAACTACTGACCCCAAGCTTACTTTTAGTTTTGAGACAGGATCTCCCTGTATAGCCTACATTGGCCTGACTCCTAAACAGAGTTCAGGCTTGCCCTCTTATCCATCCCCAAGTGGGTGCTGGGGTCACAGGTGTGCACCACCATACCAGCCAGGCACTCAGTGTCTGCCCGTTCAGCCTGGACATGCTGACTTCTGGAACGGTACTAGAGCCATTTCCCTGTTAGAGAGTGGGGCTCCTGGGACAAGGGCGGGCTCAAGGTCTAACTCTTCTGGAGTTAGAGATAGCCTTGATGGGATGAATAGGCAAATAGAATGTGGCAGAGCTTCTGTTGTGGCGGCTGCTGCTTTTTTTCTTTTCCTTTTGTCTAGGTTGTCTTTTTCTTCTTTTGTATTGGGATTTGAAATCAGTGCCTTGCACAAGCTAGAGGAGAGCTGTACCACCAGAACTACTCCCTGCCCCAGAAACAATGACGTGTTTCTAGTTTCTACTGACAGATTGGTTGTTGTTGTTGTTGTTGTTGTTGTTCTGGGAAATCAGTCTTTGGGCTTCTTTCTCTTTTTTTTAAAAAAAATCTATTTATTTATTATGTATACAGCATTCTGCATGTATGCCTGCATGACAGAAGAGGGCACTGGATCTCATTATAGATGGTTGTAAGCACAATGTAGTTACTGGGAATTGAACTCAGGACCTCAAGGAAGAACAGCCAGTGCTCTTAACCTCTGAGCCATCTTTCTAGCCCTTCTTTTTCTTTTTCTTTTTAGTTAGAAACACTTTACAATTCCTTCTTACTTTGTGTGTGGGGCACGCACAGCATGGCATGAAGATGAATGGCAAACATTGGCTCTCTTTCCACCATGTGGGTACAGGGGAATGAACTCAGGTTGTTGGGCATGTCTGTAAACACTGAGTAATCACACCATCTGTCCCCATCCCCCTCTTCCATGCCCACGATACTCCGATTTCTTCTTGGCTTCCTCCTTTTCCAACTCCCTCTCTCTGCTCGCCGCCCTGGGTCAATGTCACCATACGCCGGGATGTAGGCCCAAAACCTGCTGAAGAAAGTAGAGGGCCTGGAGAACCTGAGCAACCTGACTACCCTGCATCTGCGAGACAACCAGATTGAAACTTTGGATGGCTTCTCCAAGGAGATGAAGTCGCTGCAGTACCTCAACTTGAGGTATGGGTGTGCATCCTCTCTGAGACCCACCTCGCACCTGCCAATCTCCAAGAACAGCTTCTGAGTCCGTGGTCCTCTCCCAGTAACCCTCAGCTAGGTCCTCACCTTGTCCTTCTGATCCTGTCCTCTGCTGTCCTCTCTTCTGCATTTGCCTCAAAGAGCAACACAAAGATCTTCCTGGGAGCTCTGGATTCTTATATTAATTCATCCTATAGTGAATAAGACTGTGCTGTGTTTAGTAGGGCGTATTCTGTGTTTTAGGAACACCTAAAAGAATCAGAAGCAGTTTGTTTTCCTTTCTTTCTTTCTTTTCTGTTTTTTCCCCCCAAAATGTTTTTTTTTTTTTTTTTTTTTTTTTTTTTATTGTTTTTTTGTAGCCTTGGCTGTCCTGGAACTCATTTTGTAGACCAGGCTGGCTTCAAAATCACAAGAGATCCACCTGCCTCCTCCTCGGTGTTGGGATTAAAGGCGTGCACCACCACTTCCACCACTGCTGAGCTTCTTTTTCGTGTTTAAATGTGAGGGTCTTGCAGTGTTCCCCAGGCTGGCCCCAATCTCTCAGCCTCAGCCTCCTGGACAGCTGAAGTTCTAGGCATCCACCACTGGGGCTGTTTTTAAGTGATTCACAGTCTGACTCCAGTGCTCTTTTCCTAGCTGGATCTTATGTAAATGTAAATGCCTTTCTCCCTCTCCTAGGCCCCAAAGACCCTTTCCATTTCTTGTCTCTTTCCTCCTGAACTGAGCACTACCTGTAAAGGACAGCATTTAACCTGTGATATTAAACATAAAATGTAGCCTGGCAGAGGGTGGTGGTGGTGGCACACGCTTTTAATCCCAGCACTCAGGAGGCAATCAGATCTCTGAGTTCGAGGCCAGCCTGGTCTACAGAGTGATTTTCAGGACAGCCAGGGCTACACAGCAGAAGCCTGTCTTGGAAAAAGGAAGAAAGAGAGAAAGAGAGAAAGAGAGAAAGAGAGAGAGAAAGAGAGAAAGAAAGAAAGAAAGAAAGAAAGAAAGAAAGAAAGAAAGAAAGACCAAAACTTCAAAGCTTGATGTGGTAGCACATTTCCATAATCCTAGGTCTTGGGAGTCAAAGGCAGGGGGAGTGTTGCACGTTTGAGGGGGAAGCCAGATCCATACAGTGAGTAAGTCTGTACCAGGCAGAAGTATAGGTATATAGTGAGACTCTGTCAACAACAACAACAACAATAATAAAAATGATAACAGCAACAAAAACCAGCTGTGGTGACTCCTGCCTATAATTCCAGCACGCAGGAAGCTGAGGCAGGAGGAATATTTCTGTGAGTTTGAGGCCAGCCTGGGCTACAGAGCCAGACTCTGTCATCCCCCCCCAACACACACACACACAAACACACACACACACACACACACACACACACACAAGGAGGTGATGGAAGCGCACATGCAGGGTCAGAGGGATTTTTCTCTAAGCTCCTCTTTTCTGATGGACAATTCTTTAATTTTTGTTTCGTGGTTCTATCGATCACACCCAGGGCCTCATGCACGGGAAATATGTCGTCCATCACTGGGCCTAACAAAATGCCAATAGAGCTCGAAGTGAGGAAAGTTCCACGAGGCCCAGAGCACCTGTGGAGATCAGTCTGGAATACTTAGAACTGGATCCATGAGTGTTTGAAACCAGGAGCATGCCATGCCATGCAGAGTTTTGCAAAGAAGCACATTAGAAGACTGAGATTTTTTATTCAAGCTGGGAGACCCAGTCCATCCCTAGCTCTGGGTTCCTTACTGAAGGAAGCACCCCCACACACCCCTTAGCACCCCACTCTCAGGTCCGAGCTCCTCCTCCTGATCTTTCCAACCCCTGTTGTGGTATGGCTGACATAGAAAATGTCTGCTCCTATAAGGGACATTTGCCCCTCTTCTCCAAATACAAGATGGGATGAGGCCTAGCTTTGCTGCTCCAAAGTCTGAAGATGACACATCGAGTGGCATTTAGGGATTCTGTGAAGGGTAGAGGAGGGATTAGGGAACTGCATCCCAACAAGTCTGGTCCTCAACCATCATTGCTTCCAGGGCCCAGAGTTGCTTCCAGGAAGTGTTCTTACAAAGGAAGCCCAATTCCTAGCTAACAAAGGCCATTTTCCTGAGTTAACCCCTCCCTGACCTCATCCACAGGAGCAATATGATTGCTGACCTGGCGGAGCTGGCCAAACTGCGGGACCTGCCAAAGCTTCGGGCCCTGGTGCTGCTGGACAACCCATGCGCAGATGAGACTGACTACCGCCAGGAGGCCCTAGTGCAGGTGGCGCACCTAGAGCGCCTAGACAAAGAGTTCTATGAGGATGAGGACCGGGCGGAGGCCGAGGAGATCCGTCAGAGGCTGAAGGAGGAACAGGAGCAAGAACTCGATCCAGACCAGGACATGGAGCCTTACGTGCCACCAGTTTAGTGGCTCGCCCAGCCTACAGGGACAGTAAAGGTGATGCCAGGAAGACAGCCTCCGGAGGGCAAAGGTTAGGCACACAGGAGGAGAGGCCAGAGTTAGGGGCTTCAGGTATCTTAGATATGAAGGAAAGATGAGAGAGGTGCAGAAAGTGGTGATAAAAGACACAGGAAACCAGAGAAGGGACCGCTGTACAGACAGACATTGCTGGTAGAGACTGGTGGGGAGGGATTGGTCTGGAGCTCACGAGGGAAGGAGGTGGCTTGGGGTATATGGAGGATGTAGCTGGGCCAGGCAAAAGATCCTGCACTCAAAATCTGAAGCTAAAAATAACAGGACACATGGGTGGAGAGGCGAAAGGAGGGCAGAGCGAGGCAGAGACTGAGAGGCCTGGGGTTGTGGGCATTTCCGGTAGGGCACACGATTTATTTCTCTTCTCTTTTCCAGGAGGCCAAGGACGCTGGCCTCAAGAACTGATAAGACTCCAGTGGGGGACCCCCACATTCATAGCCCTGTCACAGGAAGTGGGAGATGCACCCTTTTGTCCCAGACTGGAAATCCATCACATCTCAAGGCTCAGGCTCTTTGGCAGTCATCTCTGTGTGGCTTGTTCTGTGGGCCCAAATTCCTAAGCACAGCTCTCAAGCAGGTCTGGGGCAACTAGGATGCTAGTAGGGGTTGTCTGGAGAGAGGAGCTGGGGAGGTGGGCTGTGATGGGCCAGTTCGGCTTTCAAATAAAAAGGCGTTTTTATACTCTTGTGTGTGACCGAGTTCGTGAACCCCTGTGGTGTGCTTCTCCATCAGTCTGGGTTAGTACCTGCCGCAGTACAGGAATGAGGCGACGCCTGCTTCCCTCGAGTTGGCTGGACGTGGGTTATGAGCATCCGTGTGCTCAAGGGGGTTGCCAGCCTGGTCCCGGATCGCCCCGGCCCTTCCCCCACCCGTTCGGTTCCCCACCACCACCCGCGCTCGTACGTGCGTCTCCGCCTGCAGCTCTTGACTCATCGGGGGCCCCTGGGTCACATGCGCCAGCCTGGCTCTATAGGCACCGCCCCTTGCCCACCCCCCCACCCCCCCGCCCGCGCTGGGAGCCGCAGCCGCCGCCACTCCTGCTCTCTCTGCGCCGCCGCCGTCGCCACCGCCACCGCCACCGGCTGAGTCTGCAGTCCTCGAGGTGAGGCCCGTATCGGGCCGCATCCCCTTACTCGCTCCTTGCCGCCTCCACTCCCCGTTGTCCTGAGCTTAGCGTCCCGGGCGGGTGACGCTGCATACCTGTCACCTGCCTTCCCTGGCACCCTCCATTCCCGGCCTTCCCGGACAGCTCCCGGCTTTCTGCTTGTCACCTCCTCCAGGTTTAGGTACCAGCTTTCTGCATCCCCTTCTCTAACTGCACGGTTGCACCCCCTCCTGCTCCTCTCCCCGCGCCGGTATTCATGTAGGGTCCTGCCGATTTGTTTCTTAAGTTCGATGTCTCCGCAGGCGGCGCGTGTTTCCCTGGCACGTTCTTTTTTTTTTTTTTTTTCCCTTTGCGTTTGCGAAGATACCCTCTCACCCTTCCTTGGCTACCTCAGACATATTCTAGACTCGTCCTTTGGTCCCTCCTTCTCTTCCCCCTCTCTGACATTTCATTTTCTCCGACGCTTGGGGGAGGGATAGCAGGAGTGGGGAATTTGTCCGGGCGTAGAAAAGCAATGGGTCTGCCTCACCATTCCCCACTGTAGCCCCTAGGGACTGGAGCCTTGGTCCCAGGACGCTGTCCCCAGACTCCTCTTGAAATGAGGAACTCCTGTTTGGGAGAGAGGTGACGACCCCGGAGTGTTTTCTAGACCTTGTGTATATGGGCTGTCAAGTTGGTGCTCCGCCTGCCCAGATAACCCCTCTCCTTTCTGTTTCAAGATCTAAGGGGAAAACAATGCCAGTCTGGCAGCCATCCCGCCTAGGGAAGTCTAGGGGAACCCCACTGGTCGGTGAGGCTGCTGAGGGGCGAAAAAAATCGCTGCTTGCCCCTCTCCTCTTCACTGCAGTGCTCTCCCATCTTGTCAGGATATGTACCCCGCCCCTTCTGCAGTGACCTCCCCTTCCTCACTGCATTGACCTTCTCTTCTCTCCACGGGGAAGGGAGAACCCCTTCTACAGTGCTTGATTGCAGTCCGCTCCTCCCCACCCCCTACCACTGCAGTAACCTCTTTCCCAGCCCTCCCAGCCTCTGGCCCCTCCCACTGGCCTCAGGCTCCACCCTTCTAAGCCTCTTATCTTTCTCCTTCCTCCACTTCCACCCAAGGAGATCCCAGCCATTATGTCTATAGAGAAGATCTGGGCCCGAGAGATCTTGGACTCCCGTGGGAATCCCACCGTGGAGGTGGATCTCTATACTGCCAAAGGTGATGGGCGGAGCATGGGCTGTCCATAGCTCCTACTTCCCCTGTGCTGGGTCTGGAAAAGGTTGAGAGGTCTTCCTTTAAATCCAGGGGCCATGGGATGCTAGGCCAGATTCTCAAGGCTGGATTGTGGAGTCTGATCTTCCTTGGATCAGGGCTAGGTGGGTCTGTATTCTAGTTCAGAGTGAGAAAGGTCCTACCTGTGCGAGCACAGGAGCACGCATGCTCTGCCTAGCTCAGCTCTGTTTCTGAGGCCTCCCACTCGTGCCTGCGAGGCCTCAGTTGGGCGGATGAGGTGGCCCTGCGTGTGCAGCTGATACGTTGTCTGTGAGAATGTGTGTATCTGTGTGTAGTGCCAGGGAACCTTGTAGGAAGAAGTCTGGATGTGGCAGGCAGGAGTTTAGGCTAGAAAGCTCAGAGAATCCTTGGGGCCAGAGTGTCCTCCCTCCTTCCTCACGGCTTGTCTTCTTCCAGGTCTTTTCCGGGCTGCAGTCCCCAGTGGGGCCTCCACTGGCATCTATGAGGCCCTGGAGCTGAGGGATGGGGACAAACAGCGTTACTTAGGCAAAGGTGATGGATGGCTCTCCTCTCCTAGCATGTCCCAGTCCCCTGGATGCCTTCCCCTGCCTCTCCACACTCTCCACCCACTCCTCTCGGCCTGACCAGCCCGGTTTTCCTTTCTCTAGGTGTCCTGAAGGCAGTGGACCATATCAACAGCAGGATTGCGCCAGCCCTCATCAGCTCAGTGAGGCCCGCTCTTTCCTGTGGGTGGGGTGGCTGCTAAGCCAGACTCCTAGAAGAAATCTTGGCTCCAGGGAGGGACAAGGGCAGGCAAAACAAACAAACAAACAAACAAACAAATTAAGCCCCACACTCTTTAGGAGTTGTAGTTGCAAACGCAACGGTGTGAAAAATACGCTTATTGCCCCTGTATGAACTGAAGGTTCCAAAAGCCGGCAGGGCAGGGATCCGGTGGTACCCTGCTCAGACATAAGGCTACCTGTGAATGGAGGGCCCTCTGCCTTAGGGTCCAACCGCCATCTTGGTTCTGCCCACAGGGTATCTCTGTGGTGGAGCAGGAGAAACTGGACAACCTGATGCTGGAGCTGGACGGGACTGAGAATAAATGTAAGCAGGGGGTGGGCGGGGAGGGATAGGCAAGCACAGAACCCCAAGGGCCATGCTGGGGACACTTGGACTGTCACCCTCACCCAAAGCCACTGCAGTGGGAAGGGAGACACTAAGAAGGAAGGCAGTGGGAGGGGGTGACACTAAGAAGAAAGAACTTTTTTTTTTTTTTTTTTTTTTTTTTTGGTTTTTCAAGACAGGGTTTCTCTGTGTAGCCCTGGCTGTCCTGGAACTCACTCTGTAGACCAGGCTGGCTTCGAACTCAGAAATCCACCTGCCTCTGCCTCCCAAGTGCTGGGATTAAAGGCATGCGCCAACACCGCCCGGCAAGAAAGAACTTCTTAAAGCATGATGAGAGGGGCTGGCATGAGGTAGACTGGGGGATGTTTAGGAAGAGGTGAGGCTTTCCCTTCCTTCTCACCTCTGTCCCCAATCACACTGTTAGTAATAGAAAATGACCCCTCGCTGTTGAGGGGCAGGGATGGGAAGTCTCCTTTACTGGCTTTCCTGGGGAGTATAGGTGGAAGCAGGGGCTACAAGAGAGGGGGACATTTTTTTACTCAGTGCCTTCCTCTGTAATTTTCCAGCCAAATTTGGGGCCAATGCCATCCTGGGTGTGTCCCTGGCCGTGTGTAAGGCTGGGGCAGCTGAGAAGGACTTACCCCTCTACCGCCACATTGCTCAGCTGGCTGGGAACTCCGACCTCATCCTGCCTGTGCCGGTGAGCACTGCACTTGCCTAGCCTCTTCCCCAGGGGAGGAGGGAGCATGCAACCAGGTGAGGGATGAGGGGAGGAAGGTGAACAGGCAGACACCAAGGAAGGATGGGGATGTGAGACCCGAGCCTCGCATCCGCATCCGAGGACCTCAGGTTGGCATTCTCAGGAGCAGGAGGAAAAGGCTCTGACTGCTTGATCTGTGGCTCCCCAGGCCTTTAATGTGATCAACGGTGGTTCTCACGCTGGGAACAAGCTGGCCATGCAGGAGTTCATGATCCTCCCAGTGGGTGCTGAGAGCTTCCGGGATGCCATGCGACTTGGGGCAGAGGTGTACCACACACTCAAGGGGGTCATCAAGGACAAGTATGGCAAGGATGCTACTAACGTGGGGGATGAAGGTGGCTTTGCCCCCAATATCCTGGAGAACAGCGAAGGTGAGGCCCGGAGCCCTTACTCCAGCCCGAGTCTCATGCTGGGAAAGCTGGCACATGTGGGTCCTGTAGGACACTGGAGGAAGGTCCTTAAACTTCAGAAAATCTCAAGAGGTAGCCAGCAGCCCCTAGGGTGGACTCCTGGGGCCTTCCGATTTCACACATAGACCTTGTAGCTTGGTCTGTTACCTGCCCAGCCAAACCTGTTAGTTAGCATAGGTCCTCACTGGACTGCTGAGAATATTGGTAAGTGCTCTGGGTAAGGTCCACTTCATCCTTAAATGCCACAGTCTTAGATGACATACACCATCCTCCAGGGAGGTAATTCACATTGGTTCTATCCCCTTCCCAGCCTCTTAGGTATCTAGGATTCCTATATCTCCTGTGCTTTTGGGAACTGTAAAGGTAGTGGTTAGAAGTGAAGGTACTGGGGCTGGAGAGACGGCCCAGCGGTTAAGAGCACTGACTGCTCTTCCAGAGGTCCTGAGTTCAATTCCCAGCACCCACATGGTGGCTCACAACCATCTGTAATGGGATTCAATGCCCTCCTCTGGTGTGTCTGAAGACAGCTACAGTGTACTCATATACAAAAAAAAAAAAAAAAAAGTCAAGATACTGGCCAGGCAGTGGTGGTGCTTGCCTTTAATCCCAGCACTTATAGATGAATCTCTGAGTTCAAGGCCAGCCTGGTCTACAGAGTGAGTTTCTACAGAGTGAGTTCCAGGACAGCCAGGGTTTCACAGTGAAAGCCTTTCTCAAAAACAAACAAACAAACAAAGAACAAAACAAAAAGTGAAAGTACTAGCTAGGGGTGTGGCTCAGGGGTGGAGCACCTTCTCAGCCTGTCCCAGGCCACTGCACCCAAATGTATACACATGCATGCACAAACATGTAAGTGCACTTGTATCCATACACATTCCTGCCCACTCTAAGATTACTTGCATTTATTTTGAACTCTGAGGAGTTATTGGCTGGAATCGCCAACACTTGGGAGGGTGAAGCCTAAGGGTTGCTATGAGCTTGGAGCCTGGACTACAGGGTCATGAAACCTTGTTTAAAAAAAGAAAGAAAATAATAATAATTAGTAATAACAGAAAGAAAAGATAATAATGACAGTGATAAAGACACAGACAAGGTTTTTTAAAGAGCCAAGCATTTGAGCCGGGCATGGAGGTGCAGATCCTTAATCCCAGGCAGAGACAGGTACATCTTTGAGTTCAAGACCAGCCTGGTCTACACAGAGTTCGGGGCTAGTAGCTAGGGCTACATGGTAAGAACCAGTCTCAAAACAAAACAAGGTGGTGGGGAAAAAAAAGGAATGATCTGAGTTCTAGAAGTATCATTGAGGATTAAATGAGATGTGTACAATGCTAACATGAGGTGGTACCAGGGAAGGCCGCTATTAGGGCTTAGTGGTTAAAGACAGTTGCTGCTCTTGCAGAGGACTCAGGTTTGGTTCACAGCATCCACATGGTTCCAGGGATGTAAAACTGTCTTCTGGCATCTGTGGGTACCAGCACACCCATGAAGCATATACATACATGCAGGCAAAACACTTAATACAAATAAAAAAAAATTTTAAAGAACACACACACACACATCCTGCTAGCCAGGGCGTGGTGGTGTAGGTCTAGCATCCCAACCATTTAGAGGCCAAGGCAGGAGAATCGAAAGTTCAAGGTATGCTTTAGCTACAGAGTGAGTTCAAGACCAGCCTGAGCAACTTAGACCCTTCCGCAAAATGAAAAAGAAAAAACGGGGTAGGAGTGTGGCTCGGTAGCAGAGGACTTGCCTCAAGTGAATGAGGCCTTAGGTTCCAGCCCCAGCACCAGGATGATGTGTGGGGGAGTGAGTGTGGGGGAGGGGTCTGGGGAGGGGGACCAACTCTAATAACCGAATTCTACTTTTCTGTCTCCCTAGAGAGCCTCTCTCCACAGACCCTAGCCATCCCTCCCCTCCAACAGTCCCCTCCTGCCACTCTGAATTGCTTTTCTCGCCCTCTTTCCTTCACACCGATTTCACTTCACAATTTGTCTCTAGCCTTGGAGCTGGTGAAGGAAGCCATCGACAAGGCTGGCTACACGGAAAAGATGGTGATCGGCATGGATGTGGCGGCCTCTGAGTTCTACCGTGACGGCAAATACGACTTGGATTTCAAGTCTCCCGCTGATCCTTCCCGATACATCACTGGGGACCAGCTGGGGGCACTCTACCAGGACTTTGTCCGGAACTATCCTGGTGAGAGCGAGGGATTGTGGGAGATAGGAAAGGGAAAGAACGAAGATTGGCAAAGGTGAACTTTATGGGGTGCAGAGTCTGGGGCCAGGTGACATCCCGAAGCGGCTGAGAAGCAGGGAGAAGAGGCAGCAGGTTCTTGCAAAGCGGCGCTTTGAGTGTCCTGTGACTGGGCACGTAGCTGTGATGGGGCTCCTCCGATTGTTCCAGAACCTGGGCTCTAAGAGCTACTTGGGTCCTAGAGAGGGCTCTGGAAGGAGCCAGGGATGGGAAAAACATGAATGGATGTGACAGAAAAGTGCCAGGCGTTACTATCTTTGATTGATGAAGGAGGTGGCGCGGCTGCCTGGGGGTGGCGGGGGAATCACTGAGGTACAGCTGCCAAGGGCCTCCGTCCCACTCCATGGAGGCCGCTGGCCTCCATCAGAGCATTCTCTGGCAAGAACCGGTCCCCTCTCCACTCCCTCTGCAGTGGTCTCCATTGAAGACCCGTTTGACCAGGATGACTGGGCAGCTTGGTCCAAGTTCACAGCCAACGTCGGCATCCAGATAGTGGGCGATGACCTGACGGTGACCAACCCCAAGCGCATCGAGCGGGCGGTGGAGGAGAAGGCCTGCAACTGTTTGCTGCTCAAGGTCAATCAGATCGGCTCAGTCACAGAAGCCATCCAAGCGTGAGTGGCTTCTGGCCTCCTCCCACCTCGATTCTTCAGGACTCCTCTTGCGAGCCCTCCTAGCTGGATTCTGCCCTGGAACCCTGGCGAACGCTGGGTACCCTTCACACTCTTGTGACTTCTAGTCTCACTATACTTCACGATCTGCCCTCACGCCCCTTAGTCACCTTCCTCCAGGGGCTTCCTGACATAGATCAAGCCCGGGGCGGGGAGGGAATAGCTGTGCTTCGGGACAGGTCAGTGCTGGTGTACGCTGCAGGTGCAAACTGGCCCAGGAGAATGGCTGGGGAGTTATGGTAAGTCATCGCTCTGGAGAAACGGAGGACACGTTCATCGCTGACCTCGTAGTGGGACTGTGTACAGGCCAGGTGAGTAGAGCCAGTCTGTGGGATTAGAGAGATCTTTGTAAGGCTGGTGGATTCTGGGCCCAGTAGTTATTGTCTTGCCAAAAATTTGAGAGTCAGAGAAGTTTCAAGAGTAGAAGTCTGGGACTTGGAGATTTAGCTCAGTGGTAGAGCACTTGCCTAGAAAGCACAAGACCCTGGGTTCAGTCCTCAGCTCTGGGGAAAAAAAAAAAGACAAAATAACAAAAAAAGTAGAAGTCTGGCCAGGCATAGTGGCACACACCTTTAATCCAAGCACTCAGGAGGCAGAGGCAGGTGGATCTCTGTGAGTTTAAGGCCAGCTTGGTTTATATAGCGAGTTGCAGGACTCCCAAGGCTACACTGAGGCACTCCTTAACAAGCAAACCATAAAAAAGAGTAGAAGTTCTGAGCTGGTGACAGCAGGTACAAGTGCCCGGTGCTAAGCCGACTGTCAGCTTAAAGTCTGACTCATGGCACTCACAGGTTAGAAGGAGAGAACCAACTCCCAGTTGTCCTCTGACCTCCAAATGCACACCATGGCAAGAGCAGATCCACAGACGTGTACACAGACACAAAATAAAGTATTGATTTTTATAATTAATTAATACAAATACAGATGTATTTGTATTAATACTGGAGGTTTAGCTCAGTTGCAGAGTACTTGCCTAGCATGTGCAAGACCTTGGGTTTCATTAAAAAGGGGGAGGGGAATAGGGTATGATGGTGGTATGCCTTTAGTCCCAGCACTAAGGAGACAGAGGCAGGAGCATCTCTACAAGTTCAAGACTAGCCTAGTCTACATAGTGAGTTCCAGGACAGCACAGTCTACACAGTAAAACTTGTCTCAAAAACAAACAAAAAGACCTGGACTTGGTGATACATGCCCTTAGTCCTGACACTTGGGAAGTAGAGACAGGAGGATCAGGAATTCAAGGCTAACCTGTCCCTTTTGAAGCCAACTTTCACAAAACTGTCTCAAATTTTTTTTTTTAAAAAGTGTGTGTGTGTGTGTGTGTATGTGTGTGTGTGTGTGGTGTGGTGTGGTGTGTGGTGGGGGAGTAGGGTTGTCCTATCAGGTGAAGGAAATCTCTAAAGTGCATATCTCCTGGAATGTTTCAGATCAAGACTGGTGCCCCATGCAGATCTGAACGTCTAGCGAAGTACAACCAGCTCATGAGGTGAGGAGGGTCCCTGAAGAACAAGAACTCGAGACCAGGGTTCTTGACCCCTTTAGGCCACCATCCTGTCTCCTGCATCCAGGACCTGGATGGTAGTTGATGCAGTGGGTTCAAAGATGGTCTGACTGACAGATCACTAAGAGTCCAGGAAAGCCAGGAAATGTTCACCTTGGGGCAGTCCTCAAAGGAGGAGCCTGGAGGGACCAGAGCGAAAAGCAGATCCCTCTTCTCCTGACTGCTCCCTTTCTGGATTATCTGTCAGGATTGAAGAAGAACTGGGGGACGAAGCTCGCTTCGCGGGACATAATTTCCGAAATCCCAGTGTGCTGTGACTCCCTCACCCCCCGCTTGCCTGCTCACTGGAACATCTCATTCTCCTGGAGCCTCTTTCTTGCTGTCCCAATATGCCATAACTCACCCTGATACCCTGAGCCCCAAGTCACCCAGAACACCCCGACTCACCTGCTCCGGCTGTTCTTGGCTTCCGCCACCCCTTGCTATCTCTGCTCTTCCTCCTCTCTGGGCTCCATTTTTGGGGATTCCAATCTGCCCACTTTCCCTTCTATTCTCTCTTCTCTTTAAAAAAAAAAAAAAGACGATGAGAAGGGGGTCCACAGAAGAACCGTCAGTGTCTGACAGGAGCTTCGGGATTGGTGTGTTGGGGTGTTTAAAGTGGGGCCATGGGGCATCTGTGTGTCATTGCTTTCTTTCCATGTTGTGTAGAAGCCTTGAACTATGCATAGAACTGGGATTTGGGGAGTGTTGGATGTGTGGTCATGCTTGGTTACGACTTTAGAGAGAGAGAGAGAGTGTGTGTATGTGTGTACGCGCGCACGCACGCATGCACAAGCACACATTTATTTATTTATTTATTTATTTATTTATCTACTTATCACTCAGCTGGTCAGTCAGTCATCTCCCATAGCTCTTCAGTCTGAAAGTGACCCAACTTGACAGGGCTAGGCATCAGTATTTTCATGTGGCTGCATTCCAAGATGACCTAGGATGGGAGGTTTTGCTAGCACGGGAAAGGGAACAGAAAAGGACCGTAGCAACTGTTCCATTTGGTGCGCTAACTGAAGCTCGCTACTTTACGGAATGGGGCTGTGTACCTGGGGGGCTTTCCCCCTCTCACTCTCTCCCTGGCCCTAGGTTCCTCAGTCTTTCTTCGGCTGCACCAGAGCACCGCCTCACTCCCTGTGCCATGTTCCACAGTTGCCACTGTCTTTGTGGCTTTGAAATGACCACCACCATTAAAGTCTGAATCACAGAGCACCGCCCCTTGTCTGAGGACTTTTTCTCTCTGCTCCATAGGAGAGGAGGAAGAGAAAAGACTAACTATTGGTGAAAGGACTAACTATTGGTGAACCTGGAGAGCAGATCTGGGGAGGGCTCAAAAATCGGCAGGCCAACTCATGATCAAGTTTGCCGCATAGCGGGTTATGTGGGATCCATTTTTTTTTTTCTCAAGACAAGGTTTCTCTGTGTAGCCCTGGCTTTCCTGGAACTCACTCTGTAGACCAAGCTGGCCCTGAATTTACAGAGATTAGCCTGCCTCTGCCTCCTGAGTGCTGGGATTAAAAGCGTGTACCACCACACCTGACTGAACTGAGGACTCATAGCCTGTAGTACAGGAGTCACTCAAACATAAGGGATCAATTGTATCCGGGGAGAGGAATGAGGCGTTTCTGGTTCCCAAAGTCTTTGGCCAAAGAAGGAATAAAGTAGCTGACTAAAAACTAGAGCATTCCTGTACTGGTCCTCAACAGAATTCTGGATGGCTTTGACATGAGGACATCATGGCCACTGACAACTATGGAATATGGAACTGAAGAGAAAAGGGAGAGAAAAAGAAATATTAGGGGTACTGGGGGCCTGGGAATCTGAGTTCTCCAGTAAAATGGCTGCAGCACCAGCCTCCCCGATAGCTCACCAGACTGTGAGGCATCAGTCTGTGGCTAGAGGCGCGCTAAACTTTCAGCTCCACTGAGAAGGTGGTGTTGAAGAACCTGGCCTACCTTGGGGGACAGTTCCCCCCCTTACATTACTATGCTTAGGGTACATCTGCCCATGGATAGCTGTGGCCACTAGAGGGAGCGCAAATTCTGCAGGACACCATACTAGACGCCAAGGTGGGGTTGGGGTGGGAAGAATTTCAAGGTTGCACCCTCCGCCCGCCTCTTACAGATCCTCCCACGTTCTGGTCCCAGACTCCCTCAGACTTCCTTCTCATTTTAGGGCTAACAGAAACTTTCACTGGTGAATGGCCAGGAGCCGCATCTCCCCTCCCCCCCCCTCCCGGATCCCTCAGCTATTTTCAGTTCAAAGAACTTCTTGCCCCCACTCCTTCTCTGTGCCTTCGGATTTCTATACAAGCACCTCATCTTTCCCTTCTCTCCTTGCACCCCTGGGTGCCTCCCTTGGGGCTCGCTACACTTCTCTGGGGTTGCTCGATCAGGAACTTTGGCCCGGGCTACTGTGGCTGAAGCCACCATTCCTGACCCTTGTCTTTTCTTCCCTCCAGCTAGGTATCTTTCTCTGACAGCATTACCAGCCCCCTCCAGGTACTGGGTTGGATTGGATTACTGCTAGCTCTGCCTGGGCCTCCAAGGCCCCTCTCTACTTTCCTTTTGTGCCATTGCCTGGAGACCAGTGGGTTGTAGGGGGCTGGGGCCAGAGAGAGAGCTGGGGTGAAGGATGGGGGTGGGGTGTATATTTGATGCCCCCAGCAGCTGAGCTATGAGCCTGGCCTTGGGTACCAGAGGAACCGGAACATGTAGTGCTGGCTTCTTTTCCTAGCTTCATGCCCTGTCCTTACCTAGGCCTACATTTTTCTTTTAGGCTTAGATAAGTAATCTTGGCTGTTGCCTTAGTGGTTAAACAAGGGTAGAGGCTCAGTCTAGAAAGGTCCTGGGCCAGGCCCAGTGGGAAACTAAAGGAAAGAGAGGAAATGCAACGGGGGAGAGGGAGGAGTCGTCTCAGCAAAATTAGTTGGTGGAGAGAAGGAGGTGGGTCTGAAAGCACAGAGGAAAAGAAGCCAGGGGGACACAGGAGAGGCCCTGGTCCAGAGCCTGATCTCTCGGAGGCCTTGGAAGGGGACAAGCCGATGGGTATGGGGGTAATGTGAGTCCCTGCAGACGCAAGGGCCTTCAGAGTGGGGTGATGGGATATTCGTTCCTAGATGGAACAAGCATTCTTGCTCGGTTTCCCTAGTGCTTTGGAATCTGTGTAGAGCTTTTTGGGTAAGTTCAAGAGCTTGGCTGAATCTGGCCTAAGGAATGGTGGCATCAGACCTGGGTGGCTACAAGGCTAGCCATTCTCCTCCCTCCCCCAAAGGCAGCCTGCCCATTCAGTGTCCCCCACTCCACCTACTCAGTCTGCAGCTAGGCTGGCTCCCACAAGTACCCTACCCCACCTCCAAATCTGGTGAACTACTAAGGGCTCCCAATCCAGACTCCAGCTCCAGCTCTTCCTGTTTCCCAGCCTGCCTCCCTCCCTTTCTCTAGCCTTCCCAATTTCAGCTGCCAAAAAATCACCGTCTCTAGTGTCCTTTGTCCTGGGAGATGTTGCTGCTGGTGTGGGGCCAGACAAGGAACCCAGAAGAAGGCACCGGTAGAGTGATGAGGGTGCTGACTTCATGGCTGGCTGTAGGTTGGGCATGGCTGGCACACGGACTGGAGAAGAGTTGGGAGGAGCATGCTGTGGTCTGTGCTGGAGACTGCCTCCATATTCCAACAACTGTTATAGGGAACCTAGGCACCCTAAGATGTATGTAGGTCCTTTCCACCTAATCCCCTACTTCATCCTTTCTGTGGCCATGACCAAAGATGCTACTTGTAATGACTTCAGACTTGAGAAGGTCTAATTCAGGACACTCTAGTAAACGGAAGGATCCAAACGTGAAGTGCCACCCCTCAGTTACCTCTTCCAAACTAGCGCCTGGGCCCCAGTCTGTCACTCCTCCAGGGTCCTCCGTCTCTAGCTCCTCTCTTTCCCCCTCACTGACCCTCCCACCACGATGCCACAAAGGCCCTATTTATCCTGTGTGTCCTTCCAGACCTCTCTAATTCATTCTCCTCCACTTTGTTTGCCAAAGGAAACAGTTCTTAGTTCGATTGGAAGCCCCCACCTTCATGTTTTATCAACCCACTCCAAACCAGTCTCCCTCTAGAATAGGCATCCTCTCCCCCCACACACACACCCTGCTTCCCCCACTTATGAGACCTCTCATGCCTTCTCTCCCACAGAGGTATCTCTGGACTTCCAGCTTTCCTTCATCATTCCCAAATTCTTGTGGTTTGCATTTTTTCTCAACACCAATCACTGCCTTACACTCTTATCTCTTCCAGAAACATCATTCTCTTAGTGTGTCTCCATCTTTTCCCGCCCAGGTCCACAAACTTCCATCGCAGTGTCTCCGAAATAGCCCCTAAACCCCTCCAGCCTCAGCTTCTGGCCCTTCCTCTCCATCTTTCCAATATAGCCCCATTATCCAAATCTCTACTTCAGTATTCCCCAAACTCCACCTACTTCACCCCTGCCACAGCCCCTCTTGTCCCCAAACTTCTCCAGCCTCCCCAGGTCTGCCTTCGCAGTCCACAGCCCCTCCCACCCAGCCCTCTCCCGCGCGGGGCCCGCGAGCTCCCCACGCTCGGCGCCGCGAGGCCCTCTCTCTCCGCGCCCCGGCCGGCTTCGGCCAACTCGCCGGGCGCCTCCCCTTCCTCGATCCTCCGCCCCCCGACTGCCGCGCGCTCCCTCCCTCGCGTCTCCTCCGGGCCCCTCTCTCCTCCGTTCCTCCGCGCTCCCTCCTTCTCCCTCTTCCTCCCTGCTCCCATCCCCCTCTCCCGAGCGCCCTCCCTCCGCCGTCCGCTTTCCTGTGCGAGTCGCCGGACGCGCCGCCCAGCCCGTCCGTCCGCCCGCAGCCCCGCGCCCGGCCGGGGCCTCCGGCCAGGACGCGTTTCGGGGTGGCAGGCCTCGGGGCGGGCTAGGGGCGCGCGGCGGGAGGGTCGGGGGTCGCGGGCCTCGCCGGGGCCGCGAGTGCGGGCGGAGGCGGGCGGCGCGGCGGGGGCGGGCGGCGCGTTCCGGGCGGGAGGGCGGGGGAGGAGCGCGAGAAGCCGATCGGGGCTGCGCGGGGAGCCGGGCATGGGGGCCGCCCTCCGGAGGGGCCGGGGCCGCCGCCGCCGCCGCCGCGGCAGCGACTGAAGCCGCGCAGCAAGGAGGGGCGGGGAGTGGCCGCCGCCGTCCCCGGGAGGCTCCGGAGCCCGACTGCACTCGCAGCCAGCCAGCCGTCCCGAGCCGCTCGCAGGTAAGGTCCGCTGCCGCCGGCCCGGGCCGCCCCGTTCCGGCCCGCGGCTCCCCGCCCCCACCCCTCCCGGTCCCCCCTCCCGCCGCCGCCTCCATTTGTTATTTTCCCCGGTCGGTCGCGTTCCCTCATTGCGGGCACGACCGGGCCCGAGGCTGGGGACTCAGGGGGTGGGGCCGCCCGGAGGAGGGACGCGGGCCCGGGAGTCGCGAGCTCGGGAGGTGGGGGGAGGAGGGTCTTGGGAGGAGGGCTGACGGGGCCGAGCGTCGCCAGGACCCGAGCCTAAAGGGGAGGAGGAACGCCGAGGTGGAGACTTGGCGGAGGTAAACCGGGGGATGCTGTGCGGGTGGTTTGCGGGGAAGGCAGGACGGATCGGAGAGATGGCAGCGAGGTGGGGCGTGAAGGCTCCGGTAGCCCCACAGGCCCAGAACCCGGGTTCCAGAACCCAGGGTTGCGGGTATGAGGAACGGGGAAGTGGGAACAGGGAAAGGGGTGTGGTAGGTGGTAAAAGGAGGGTTGTAGCTGCCGAGAGGGGGTATTGAACCTGGGGGAATGGAGATGAACCAGGAGAGGCCCATGTTTGAGAAGACGGACGTTTTCTGGGGTGGAAATGGGAAGGCTGTATCTTTTGTGACTCAGTTTTCTTTTCCCCATTCCTGGTCACCTCTGACCCTGTTTTCCTAATCGTAGACCTAGTTACTTCGTGAAGGAGGGAGGGGGGCGCTGAGGCTTGGTAGTGTGAGTCCCCTTAACACTAACAAGAAAGGCAGCAATTCTGAAGGGAAAATTAGAAAGGTTGGGAGGATGGGAAAGAAAAGAGGATTGGGCAATCGCATAGGCATTCCAAGGAATGGTGACCTCCCCCCCCCCCCAGGGCATGGGCTGTCCCGTAGCTGGGCTCTATCTAGGAGGTCTTCCTCACTGCTTTGATCTCAGAGATATCTCTTTGTGCCTGGGGCAGGTTACCTTAAAGCT